GATGTGCTATTTCTTCCAGCTGTAGGCTATGAAAATAAATATTTTGATGTCAGAAGAGCCACTACCCCAGCCCAGAAAAAACCTGCAAATCCCAGTGACAGAGATAAGGTACCACTTAAGTGACCAGTGTATCCTGCTTGTCTGGAGCTTTTCTACTTTGAGCACTAACTGTCCCTGGTCCCTTGAACCCCTCATTGATTCTAGACAAAGTGGAATAGTTGGTTACCTCAAGTGGGCCAAGTATTCTGCTGGGTTTATTGTTTACACTATTATTTTTACAAAACTCTGAAACAGACTTCCCTACCAAAGGTGGGCCCCATCTGAACTAGTATACCTTGTTTCTTTACAAAAACAGCTTTGCTTTTAAATTTAAAAAAAAAATTTGAGGGATATAAAATAATAATAAAATAAAGTATTACAAACATACAGAATTTCACTAAACAAGTAATAGGAACTCAGCAATGGTAGCCACCCAGTTTTTCCTTTCCCACAGAACAAATTCTTTCCCTTTTACAATGTCTATTGTAACTTTCAAATTTTATTTACTCTTTCAGGTTCTCACACTAATGAGACAGCACAATGTTTGCACATGTGGGTCTGATTTATGTTACTTACCAATACAGTCTCTAGTTGCATCCATTTGTCTACAAAACCTTGAATTTATCTTTTGTAATACCTGCATAATACTTCATTGTGTAAAACCACACTATTTTATCCATTCCTCTATACATGGGCATTTGGGTTGCTTCCAGGATTCAGCTATTACAAATTGTACAGCTATAAACATGGGTGCACATATATCACTGTGGTATACTTCCAGTTCTTTTGAAAATACCCAGGAGGAGGATAGCTGGCTCGAATGAGACCTCCAATCCTTGCTTTTTGAGGAATCTCCACACTATTTCATAGTAGTTGTACCAGTCTGCACTCCCACCAACAGTGCAGAAGGGTTCCTTTTTCCACACAGCCCCTCCAGCATTTCGTATTTCCTGACTTATTGATGTTAGCCATTCTTTTTGGGCTGAGATGGAATCTGAGCATTGTTTTAACTTGCATTTATCAGATAACCAATGATGTTGAATATTTTTTCGTGTATTTATTTGCCTTTTGTATCTCAGATGCCC